AGTTCTGAGAACTGTGGATGCCATAAACTTGCCAAGAAGGCTGCAGAGCCTACTGGAGGCCTCATCTCCAGGCCAGCCCCATCCCAGGGTATGCCTGTTCCTCCTGTCCCCTCCAAGGGTGTCAAGTATCCTTTCTCCATTTCTACTCTCCAGGGCTTATGCTGTGTAAAGGCACATGTTCCCCAATATGGTACAAATGAAGTTTGCTTGGGCTTACCCCACAGCCAGTCAGCTCTCACTTGTGACTGCAAGCTCAGTGTCCTCCACTTGTTCAGGAATCTCTGCTTTATTCAAATTCAGTTCTTGGTCAGGGTGTCCTGCACAGTCTCCGTTGATGGTACTTTCTGCGTGACTCCTGCTCTACTTGGCATATGTGCTCCACTGATGGCTGCTCTAAGCTCTGGAGGGTCTCATCAGTGGCAGACGGAAGTGCCCTCTTCCAGGTTCTCGGCCTTTTTTTTTTTTTTTTCTTTAGCATGGGCCTGGAAGGAACATTATATGTAGCCATAGTCACAAACACTTTGGGAAACATTGTCTGGAAAGGGTTGTTTTCAGGCAGTGACAATAGAGTATTTCTAAGTCTTGAAACTGGGTATTTTAGTTGCAGCACTTATAGGCAGGAGCCATAGCCTATGTGCTATGGTTTGGAGGCTGCTAGGACAACTGCCCATGGGCCTCAACTTGTGCCCACTCCCCAGTTAACCTGAGTCCCTGACAGAAGTTCTGGCTTTTATTCCCGACAGTTGTTTGGTTCTTCTCAGAAAAAAACCCTCAGAAATTATCTCATGTCACCAAGAGATCTCCGCATCTAAGCACATTTTGTTGCTGGTCTGTATGGGCACTCAGGACACATTTGTAGGTCCTTGACTGCAGCCACATGGCTAGCGTGGAAATTACATCCCAGCTGGTGATTTCTTTGCTCTTACACCTTCTGATGAGTCTAGGCTTCACTTTGTAAGAAAAGAAGCCAAAATTTTTCATTTGGCTAGCTTTCCTAACCTCTTTGTCTTAACTGGATTCAATTCTATTAAAAAATTTAAGACAAAATAAAGTTCTCAATAATATTCTGATGATGCATTGTGGGAGGTGTAGCCAAATCCTATCATCTCATGAGAAAAAAAACCTTTTTAAATGAGAATTTTAAAAAGTAAAGTTTGTTTCAAATCTGGAACAAATAAAACTATTCCTGGGAGAAATCATTCTAAAAGCTAGTGTTTTTGTTTCTATGATTTTTTGAGAAATATATTATCTCACTATTTAAAAGTAAATCAAAAGTACCACAGTTGTGGGGTAAGTAAGCAAGCACTTGTTTTACTTGTAATTATCATCATCATAGTTGCTTCCAAAGTTTAAGATAGTACTTTTCAGACCTTCTCTCAAAATACCTCTGGTGGCATAGGAGGGTGAAGATACACCTCCCATAGATTAAAGAAATGACCTAGTTTATCCATGACATCTAGAAGTTGCTCCATCTTTATCTTTTGGCTTTCTGTTGTTTCTGTCATAAAGCCTTGGGGAACATATGTCTAGTTCTTGTGGAGGGGCATGGCTACAAGCCAGGATGGGAATGAGACAGTGGTCAGGAAGACGGTGGAGGCACTTTTTGTGCTTCTAATACTAGTGTCAGAACTTTGTACTAAAGAAAGACCCAGAAGTGTTCTGTCATCACAGAATTAAAATTCTACCAGGAGTTATCAATAGTCTCTGATTAAAAAAAAAAATCACATGTGAAATCAATGTTTCCTTTCAGGCCGAGGGGGCCCAGGACCTTCCCAAAGAGTGCCAAAGTCTGGGCGTTCCAGCTCCTTGGATGGAGATCACCATGATGGATACCACAGAGATGAACCTTTTGGGGGCCCTCCAGGTAGTGGTACCCCTTCTAGAGGGGTCCGGAGTGGCAGTAACTGGGGTAGAGGGAGTAATATGAACTCTGGCCCACCAAGGCGAGGAGCTTCAAGGGGCGGTGGAAGGGGTCGGTAGAAGGTGGGAATGAGAACCCCTTGGCATCTCTGGACAGTATTTAATAACTTCTTGTGGACTTAACAAGAGAAACAAAAGGAAACCTGCACCTTGTAGCCCTGAACTCTTATTCTGGGGCAGCTGAATTCCAGGAGCCCCTAATGAGGTCTTCAAGATGAAGAGACTACTGCTGGTCACCCAGAGTAGCTGGCCTTTTGTCCTGTACACCCTCACCGCCCCAGCTCCTCACCTGAAGATAGAAGCTGGAATTGTTTTTGTTTTGTTTTTTTTTATCAGGAGACAAGAAGCACCTCCTCCACAAATTTAAGTTCATGTCCAATTGGAAATTTGTTTCTATATGTACAGTTTGTCAGAAAAAAACATTGTTTTTGTATGAATACAGAATGTGATTTATGCAAGAATTAACAGAAAACAACTAGTTGTGAAGTGCTTGCCTTAAGGAAATCCTTAGTTTCTATTGCATCCAGTCTTTTGAAGGGTATACAATTAGTGCTTATACTTGTGTAAGCATACTTGATGAAATCTCTTTTAAGTCAGGGGTGTCCAACATTTTGGCATCTCTGTGCCACACTGGAAGAAGAGTTGTCTTGGGCCACACATTAAATATACTGCAACATGTAATCACAAAAAACTCAATGTTTTAAGTAAATTTATGACTTTTGTGTTGGACTGCATTCACAGCCAACCTGGACCACATGCAGCCCAGGCTGCTGGTTGGACACCCCTGCCTAAGTCATCTAAATTAATTTCATCCGTGAACTTTATGCTCTGGCAGATGAAAAAGTATACTCCAAGAAAAAAATATTCTGGTTATCCAAGTAGGGGTTCTCCCTTAGGTACATCTATTAATCACCTTAGACTTGAATTGCCTTGTTTCTAAGTAGAGGAATTTGATGCAAGCCAGAAACTAATATGTATCCTTTTGACTACTGTAAATCAATTTTACAAACTTTAAGTTGAAGACTGGAACAAAATGTTTGAAATAATTTTGCAAAATTTCAGTAATTTCTTTCTTCTTCCAATAGTAGCTCTGTGAAAATACCAACATTTAAGGCAGAGGATAGGCCTAACCTAAAGTAAGCCAGGAAGTTCTTGTTACACATACTACTTTAGTTTTAAATACATTTGGCCCAGTTTGGATTGGATGCCAAAAGTTTAGTTTGAGATAACTCCATAATACTATTACTGATCCTTACTTTTTTTTTAACAGGGAGAAAGCTTTTATTATTCAAAGGTAAGTCCATAGTGTCCCTAACACTGCCAGTTTCAGTTTCACATTATAGACAAGTCTGCTTGGCACACTTAGCACTGGAAGTCTCAGCAGTTGCTTAGAAAAAAAATCCCCTTTCTAAGGGATAGTTGGACAGTATGTAAAAAACTTAACTAGCTCTCTATTAATGTAAAAATGGTAAAAGCTAAGTTATTTCTGCGGAGAGAAAAGCCATCATGTTGTTTTTCGGGTATTAGAACCTATAAACTACAAGTGAATAATTTTCACTTTATTTTGAAATTAAAGACATCTTCATTATTAGCACCTCTCTGTAAACACAATTAGGAAGCTCAACATTGCTTTAGGTGTGTGGATATTCTTTATTGGCCCTCCAGTGGTATATCTTAAAAAGAAGTTATCATTAATTCTGAAGCTGAAAAGGGATTCAGAGACCAAACCCTTTTTGAGATTTATTTGGTAAGAAACTTTATCACCTTAACATTTTAGGGTTTAACTTTAAAACACAGTACCTCAGCAATAACTAGATCAGATTTTGAATATGAATTCATTTAGAAAAAAGTGAAATCTCTACATTATATATTTATAAAGCACTTGAGATAACATTTTAAAATATCACTGTCAAAATATGTTGTGCTTTGAATTTTATAAAAGCTAGATTTTCAGTGTTGAATTCTTGAGAAAACGTTGGGAATACAATTTTTAGAAGTAACATCAACATAAAAATGTGTAAAATGGTAAAATCTTCAGTTGTCAAAATTCTAAAGAAATTTAGAATTAAGAGATTTAACTAGGAGGTAGAAAGGGCAGCCAGTTGCACAAGACTTTACAGTTAAATAAATCACTCCCTGAAAACTGCATTTGCTTTTACAAACACCGTCTTGGTTTTTCCTTTTGAGGACAGTAACCATATTTACTGGTCCAGGAAGAAGGCAGTATTTTTAAAGAACACTATTGGAGGTGGGTGCATGAAGCAACCTGTAAGCCTCCTGTGGATGTTGGTCACTGTAGTACCCATCAGGACCTAATAAATTTTGAGGCTGGATGAAGAGGCAGTGCTCTATTGCTGCCTGACATACTGTTTAGGTAACACTGGACTCCAACCCCAGAGAACATAACTAGTGACAACACAAAGTGTTATGGACTCATCAGAAATACAGCCCATAACTTTGTGGCAATAAAGGGTGCAGTAAAGTCATGTAAGTGCTGAATCTAAAAAAAGGAAATTTGGCAATTGGATATGAAAAACATCTTACATTATATTAGGATTGCTCAAAATGTCTAAGTTAGTTTAAAAAGCAGATAGTAAAATTAAGAATTTTAATTACTGTTTTCCATCAAACATGGGAGCTCTGGATGTAGAATTCTTTCTCCCAGGTGTCCCTCACCACAGTTCTGCCCAGGAATCTCTCAGCACCTCACTAGATACTGTGATTCTTGGGGCAGAACATGTCCTTTTGAGGTCTATCACTTGTTTTTGCTATCAATAAAGATTTTTAGGCCCATCGCTTCCATTATTAGTACAATTTTCCTCTAATTTTGTAAGGCGTAATATTAACGATTTCGCTAGAAGAAAAAAAACAACAACGAGGTAAAGCCTGTTTAAAATACTTACAAAAAAAATCAGGTGGTTAAATTTCATGTGTAAAGCGGTGCGATTATGGAGCCACCTCACACTGAAGAGAAAATAATTTTCAACTGCCAAAGAAAACAAGCTCATCTAAACTAAAGCCTACCACTGGACTTTTAATATAAGGTAAAAGAAAAATCTAAGAAAAGTCACAAGGACAGCTAATTAGAGGCATTTTTTAATGCTGTGAGTTTACATTTACTGTGGTCTTACACTGACCATAGTTAATACAAAAGCAATTCATCATGTTTCACAGCATATCACCAACTCAATGACCAAGTCTCATTTTCAGAGCACAAGCTACCGAGTGTAGCAGAAACGGCTCGTATCTGTCGCTGTGTGTCTACACATAGGCTGGCGCGGTGAAGGCGGTCTCTGCCTGCGTGGTCTGGGAGCTGGCAGCTGCGGTCCCTGGCTCAGGGGGCTGGCACTGGGTTCTCATACTGGTAGCGTTTTGGCAAGGCCGGTAGTGGAGCACATCCGTCCCAACACTAAGCGAAGTGCAGTGCCGGCTCCTCGAGGAAGCAGGTCAATCAAAGCAGCCAATAGCGCAGCCACCTGTGCGCAGGCGCCTAGCGCCGTGAGGAACGTACTGCGTAAGCCCAGCGCTGCGTACAGCGTAGCGCCCAGGGCAGCCACGTAGAGCATCATGGTCCGCGAGGGTGCCTCCTCACACCGCAGTAGACACCTGTACGCCGCCGCGCCCCGCAGGATCGTGCCTCCAGCTAGCGCTAACGTGGAGCCTAGCGACCAGAGTATCCCGAACTTGCGGGCACGCAGCAGCAGCACGGGCACGTAGAGCGCGGCCAGGCCGAAGCACAGCGTGGCCAGTAGCAGACACACGCCGCTCGCCGCCAGCTGCTGCGCGCGTGTCACTTTGGGCAGACAGCCCACGCCCGCCTCCGGCCCCGTGGTGCTCCGCGCCCACTCCCAGTGCAGGGCCAGCCACGACCCTACTGTCCCGTCTCCCGCTTCGGTTTCCTCTGCCTTTTCCGCAGTGAGCAGCGGCTCCGTTGCCGCCTGTGTGCCCGATTTTCCCTGCGCCAGGTAGTCCTGCAGTTCCCGGTGGATGTCCGCCATCTTGGGTCAAGAGCTGCATTTCACTTCCGGCTCTGTGGTGACCGCAGTTGCTTTTCCCTCCACCGACGTGGTTCGGCTGTGGCGCAGGGGGTGGGGCCTGCAGCCCGCGTAGAAGGCTGAAGTTTTGCTCGCTCACACTCTGCTGTCTGTAGAACATCTGGGCAGGAGGCCTGGCCTGCGCATCTGCATTGACCCTCCCAGCGCCAGATAGACCTTGCTCTTTGGCGTGGGCGTTGTTGCGGCCTAAATCATGTCAGCATTAACATTTAGTTGGGGGCGGGGATTGGTGTGACTATAAAAGGATAGGTGAAGGACTCTTGATGGAACTATTGGTATCTTTATTTTTTTAATATAAATTTCAAGAAAGTAATTGGGCTTATTAAATCTTTTGTGATTTGGGCAGTATAGCATGTAGCAATCATAGAGGTGCTCTTGTATTGCCTGTATTTTGACCTTATCAAAGGTCATAGCCCACAACCAGTTAGTATCCTAGTTGTGGGCTATGTAGTTGTACAAGACATTACAACTGGGGAAAGAGTACGTGGGATCGTTGTATTTCTGAAACTATACTAATTTGCAATTATGTCAGTAAGTAATTTTTTAAAAGTTAAGACATGCAGGACTGGAAACGCAAGTTATAACAAGCTGCTGGCAGATCTGTTGAGAGTTTGGGTAAGTTGTATTTATTAGCAAGGAGTGTACAGGAGGGTGTGGAGTCTAGCAGGAGGCTAAGTAGTAAATTCATTGGCTTGTGTATGGGGAGAGCTTCTTGACGATGTTTATCAGTAGGAAGTACTTTTCGGTCTCTGTAGGTCAGCCCCTTCCTGGAAATCACTTTCTCAGTTCCTAAGTTTTGTTTTCCTGAGGGTGCATGTGTGAAAGTCTCCTTTTCATGTCCTCTGGTTCCATTTTAGATTGAAATCCTTCATTTGATAATAATAGTGATCATGCTGATCACTTACTGTGAGCAAAATCATTAAGATGGCTACTATAAAAAAAGTTTTGGTCAGATGTGGAGAAATTGCAATGCTTATATACTATTGGTAGGAGTATAAGATGGTACAGCTGCTGTGGAAAACAGCAACTCCTGAAAAATTTAAAGATATAACTACCATGTGACCCGATAATAATTCTTCTGGACATATATTCAAAGAATATGCCCTGGCTAATATGGCTCAGTGGGTTGAGTGCCAGGCCTGCCAGCCAAAAGGTTGCTGGATCAATTCCTGGTTGGGGCACATGCCTGGGTTGCAGGCCAAGTCCTCAGTTGGTGGGTGGGGGTGAGGCAACTGATTGTTTCTCTCCCACCTCCATGTTTCTCTCTTTCTCTCTCCCTTTCTTTCTAAAAATAAATAAAAAAGTAAACAAACAAAAAAATTAAAGCCGAGTCTTGATGGCAGCCAAAAGGTATAATCAACCCAAGTGTATATGCCAAACCCAAGTGATTATACCAAAAGGTATAATCAACCTGCAGATGAATGAGTAGTTTGTACTGACAATGGGGTATTCCTCGGTGTGAAAAAGGAAAGAAATTCTGACATACAGAATGAATGTACCTAGAAGACATAGGATACTAAGTGAAATAGGCTAGTCACAAAAAGGCAAATACTGTATGATTCCACTTGTGAAGTACTTAGGTCAAATCTCAGAGACAAAGTAGAATGGTGGTCCATATGATATTAACTAATTATTTATATAGCTGTGAGATGGAAGATAGATTGTTCTGTTCAGTGTCCAGATGAGGAAGACTGGAATACCAAGAAGTTAACATACCCAAGATCACCCAAAAAACTGCTGATAGAGCAGGTTTGTGAATTGTAAGCGTCCCTCTATATAAAGAGGGCTTCCCTGATAGCCCTCTATAATGGTATTATAATGGTAATGGTATTTAATGGTATTATATAATGCCAGAAATACACTCTGGTTTGATTCCTGCATTGATAGAAGGACATACTGAAACAGTTTCTTGCCCTGGTTGGGTAGTTCGATTGCAGTATTGTGGCAATGGGTTGTGGGTTCTATCCCTAGTCAGGGCATATTTAGGAGTCAACCAATGAATACATAAATGGGTGGAATAACAGATAATGTCTTTCTCTAAAAATAATAATAAAAACCCTTTCTTGGCCCTACTTCCCTCAGCTACTGCAGCAAATTTTATTCAAAGAGTCAATATACTCAATGTCTCTTTGCCTCCATTGTCCCTTGACTCCGTTGTGCCAGGAAAATCACTTTTGAAAGTCACCAAATATTTCTGTTGCTAACTCCGCTAAAAGTTTTAAACCTTACCCTCCTTAAATTTCTGGGAATGTTTCACGCAGTTCCTCACCCTCTTTAATCCAACACATTGCTTCCAGGACAGCACCCAACACAAGTCGCACCATTTCAAGTCTCCTTTGTTTGCTCCTTTATATCAAAGAATGATATGTTTATTTTATTTTATATTTTTTATTTTTCATATTTTTCAAAAATATATATTTTATTGATTATGCCATTAAAGTTGTTCTATTCCCCCCTTCATTCCCCTCCACCCTGCACACCCCTCCCTCACCATTACCCCCCCTTTAGTTTATGACTGTGTGTCTCAAGTTCTTTAGATTCTATATTTCCCCTACTATTCTTGCCCTCCCCCTATCTATTTTCTACCTGCCATCTATGCTACTTATTTTCTGTACCTTCTCCCCTTCTCCTTCTCCTACTCCCTGTTGCTAACCCTCCATGTGATCTTCATTTCTATGGTTCTGCTCCTGATCTACCTATCCCCTTAGTTTGCTTTTGTTTTAGGTGTGGTTGTTAATAACTGTGAGTTTGCTGCCCTTTCACTGTTCATCTTTTTATCTTCTTTTTCTTAGATAAGTCCCTTTAACATTTCATATAATAAGGGCTTGGTGATGATGAACTCCTTGAATTTGATCTTATCTGAGAAGCACTTTATCTGTCCTTCCATTCTAAATGAAAGCTTTGCTGGATAGAGCAATCTCAGATGTAGGTCTTTGGATTTCATGACTTGGAATACCTCTTTCCAGCCCCTTCTTGCCTGTTAGGTCTTTTTTGAGAAATCAGCTGACAGTCTGATGGGAACTCCTTTGTAGGTGACTGTCCCTTATCTCTTCTGCTTCTAGGCTTCTCTCCTTCATTTTAATCTTGGCTAATATAATTACGATATGCCTTAGTGTGTTCCTTCTTGGGTGCACCTTCTTTGGTACTCTCTGAGCTTCCTGGATTTCCTGGAAGTCTATTTCCTTTGCCAGATTGGGGAAATTCTCCTTTATTATTTGTTCAAATAAGTTTTCCACTTGTGGCTGTTTCTCTTCCCCTTCTGGTACCCCTATAATTCGGATGTTGGAATGTTGAAAGATATCCTGGAGGTTCCTAAGCCTCTCCTCATTTTTTTTGAATTCTTGTTTCTTCATCCTTTTCTGTTTGGTCATTTTTTTCCTCTTTCTGATCCACTCCTTTGATTTGAGTCCCAGTTTCCTTTCCATTACTATTGGTTTCTTGTGCCTTTCCATTCATTTCAATTAGTTTAGCTTTCATATGTTCCTCTAATTTGTGACTAAGATCAACCAGTTCTGTGAGCATCCTAATCAGCAGTGTTTTGAACTGTGCATCTGTTAGGTTGGCTATTTCTTGGTCACTTAGATTTATTGGCTCTGGGGCTCTGAGTTGTTCTTGAACCATGTTTTGATCTGTTCGTGCCTGTTACATATGAGGAGCAGAGCCTTAGGTGTTCACCAGGGCAGGGCCACCCAGGTTGCTGATTTGTGCTGCTGTATGTGGGGGCAGGGTCAGAGAGGGACAATGGTGGTCCCTCTGCTGCTTCCCGCCACTGGGGCCTGCACGGTCTGTCTCACCACTCACTCCTTCACCAGTTTATCTGCGCACAAATGTGTGACCGTGGTCAGCCCTCAGTGAGTCCACTGCCTTGCGCCCTCAGTGTGTTCGCCTGCTACTCCACACCTGGGATCCGCCCCCCGGCTGCTGGCACACCTGGATCGCACGCCCTGGTCCGTCTGGTGGATCTTTCCTGCCCGACCCTGCTCTGCTGCTGGCTCTGCCCCTCTTACTGGTTTGGCTGAAGGGTTCGTTGTGGTCAGACTTCTGTATAGTTCAATTTTCTGTGGTTTGGCTGTGTTTTTGTTGCTAAAACTTTGTTTTTTTTAAACTTGGTTGTGCGAGAAGGCACAGTGCTTCCACCTATGCCTCCATCTTGGTAGAAGTCTAAATGGAGCCATTTTAAAAATGGAGTGGGAACTCTGGCAAGGTGGTTCAGTTGGAGTGTTGCCCTGTACACCAAAAGATGGATTCAGTTCCTGGTCAGGGCACATAGTTACGATGTGGGTTTGATCCCTGATTGGGGCAGATAGAGGAGGCAACTGATGGATATTTCTCCTCCCACCCCTTGCTCTGTAAAATCAATGAATATATCCTCAGATTTTAAAAAACAGCCCTGCCTGGTGTGGCTCAGTGGATTGAGTGCCGGGCCTGAGAATCAGGGGTCGCGGGTTTCATTCACAGTTGGGGCACATGCCTATGTTGTGGGCCAGGTCCCTGGTTGGGGGCATGTGAGAGGCAACCAGTTGATGTATCTCTTTCCTTCACTTTCTCCCTCCTTTCCCTTCTCTCTAAAATTAAATAGATAAAATCTTTTTTTTAAGATTTTATATTTTATTTATATTTATATTTAGAGAGAGAGGAAGGGAAGGAGAGAAACATCAGTGTGTGGTTGCCAACTGTGTGCCCCCAAGTGGGACCTAGTCTGCAACCCAGGCATGTACCCTAACTGGGAGTTGATCCAGTGACACTTTGGTTCGCAGCCCACGCTCAATCCACTGAGCTATGCCAGCCATGGGGATAAAATCTTTTTTAAAAAATGTAAAATGGAGTAGTAGCTGCTGTTCAGATGGGGCAAAATATCCTTTAGACTGAGCCTGTAGCAACATTGTATCCCAAAGAACTGTTTGCAAAGACAAGAAAGCAGATACTATGACTATCAGACTGAAAATTAAGAATGTTCTGCCACCGTGTTTATCCACACCTATAGAAATGCCTTCTATGATTTATTTAATGTAATTGTTCCCCTTTTTCATAAATGCCCTTTACCTTTGCCTCCTAATTGGAACGCTAGTTGCAATGCTGCCCAACTGAGAGCTTCCCAGACATTCTTTTGAATCTCAAAAGAAATGCTTGTTGGACTTCTGCCAAGATGGAGGCATAGGTGCATGTGCCGTGCCTTCTCACACAACCAAGTTTAGAGACAACTAAATATTAGCAACAGAAAACACAGCCAGAACACGGAAAATTGAACTTTTCGGAAGTCCGTTAACAAAAAATTCTTCAGCCTGACCGGTAAGGGGCGAAACCAGCGGCTGGTGAGGGGTTGCACAGGAGGACTCGGTCAGACGGACTCAGGCGCGCGGAATCTAGACGCGCGGAATCCAGGCGCAGGGTTGGACCTAGTGAGCGACCAAGCGAGCCACGAGGCGAGTGACCACGGAGGAGACAGCGGGGAAGCGCTGCTGCGTGTTGACTGTGGTCGCCCATTTGTGCGCGAGCGGACAGGCCAGGGAGTGGGCGGTTGGACTGGGACCCGGCGGTCCCCAAGGCAAGCGGCAGTGGAGGGCGCCGCCATTTCCCCGCTCTGACCACACCCCACATACAGCATCACAACCCAGCGACCTGGGAGTCCAAGGCACGGCTTCTCACACTTAAAGGGCCAGAACAGACCAAAAATGTCGCAAGATCTCAAAGCCCCAGAGCCCATACCTCTAAGTGATGAAGAAATAGCAAAACTCTCAGACGCACAGTTTAAAACACTGGTCATCAGGATCCTCACAAAACTGGTTGATTATAGCCACAAATTAGACAAATATATGAAGGCGAAACTAATTGAAATTAATGGAATTGCACAGGACACCAATAGCAATGAAAAGGAAACTGGGACTCAAATCAATGGAGTGGACCAGAAGAAAGCAAATAATGGCCAAACAGAAAAGAGTCAAGAAGCAAGAATTCAAAGAAATGAGGAGAGTCTTAGGAACCTCCAGGACATCTTTAAATGCTCCAACATCCGGATTATAGGGGTACCAGAAGGGGGAAAGGCACAGCCACCAGTGGAAAACTTATTTGAACAAATAATAAAGGAGAACTTCCCCAATCTGGCAAAGGAAATAGACTTCCAAGAAATCCAGGAAGCTCAGAGAGTCCCAAAGAAGTTGGACCCAAGAAGGAACACACCAAGGCACATCATAATTACATTAGCCAAAATTAAAATGAAGGAGAGAATCCTGGAAGCAGCAAGAGCTAAGGGGACAGTCACCTACAAAGGAGTCCCCATCAGACTGTCAGCGGATTTCTCAAAAGAGACCTTACAGGCAAGAAGGGGCTGCAAAGAGGTATTCCAAGTCATGAAATCCAAAGACCTACAACCAAGATTGCTCTATCCAGCAAAGCTTTCATTTAGAATGGAAGGACAGATAAAGTGCTTCTCAGATAAGATCAAATTCAAGGAGTTCATCATCACCAAGCCCTTATTATATGAAATGTTAAAGGGACTTATCTAAGAAAAAGAAGTTAAACGTGAACAGTGAAAGGACAACAAACTCACAGTTATTAACAACCACACCTAAAACAAAAGCAAACTAAAAGGACAGCTAGATCAGGAGTGGAAACATAGAAATGAAGATCTCAAGGAGGGTTAGCAAGAGGGGAGTGGGAGGAGGAGAAGGGGGGAGAAGGTACAGAAAATAAGTAGCATAGAAAGTAGATAGAAAATAGATGGGGGGGGGCAAGAATAGCATGGGATATATAGAATCTAAAGGACTTGAGACACATGGTCATAAACTAAAGGGGGGGTAATGGTGGAGGGGAATAAAGGGGGGAATAGAACAACTGTAACAGCATAATCAATAAAAAAATTTAAAAAAAAAAAGAAATGCTTGTTGAGTCTCACTTTGGTCTTTTATTTTTAGGTTAATATATCTGCTGTCAGATATGGGATGTAAAGTGGCCTCGTGACCAGAAAGGTGACCTGGCCCTGAGCAGGCCTGCTTTGGGCTGGCCGGTAGTGTGTGGGTTCTTTACTTCATGCAGGGAAGATTTCACAGCACAAGTCCAGGTGATTTTTAGAAGACATTTATTAAAGCGGGGGACAATGAAACAAGGAAGGGCCTAGGTTAGAAGAAGCAACAGGAGAGGGGCTAGGTGGGGGAAATGAGCCTAGGCTGAACTGTATTGGCTCACTTAAGAAGTCAGAGAAAAGGGGGCCTTGGAGATGGGTTTAGGTGGTTAGCCTGAGCTGCTGCTCCCATTGCTCCCAAGCCTCATGGGGTTCCTTAGGGTTTAGGAGATGCATGCTTGAGGGGATAGAAGAGGGGGAACAGAAGAGAGAGAAGGGAAAGGTGTGGACTTGCTCTGGAGAGATGGAGAGCCTGGGCTGAGACATTTGTTTTGAGGGTTTTGTTTTTTTTAAAGGATTTTTTAAAAGATTTTTTATTTATTTATCTTTAGAGGGGAGGGGAAGGTGAGAGGGAGAGAAATACCAATGTATTGTTGCCTCTCAAGCGTCCCCTGCTGGGAACTGGCCTGCAACCCAGGCATGTGCCCTGACTGGGAATCAAGGGCTGCAATCCTCTGGTTCACAGGCCCGTGCTCAATCCACTGAGCTACACCAGCCAGGGCTGTTTTGAGGGGTTTTTAAAGGCTGAAGTCTAGGGGAGATCTTGGGGAGGATCTCAATAGAATGTTCATCAGCTTTATGCTGATATACTAAAATTAGATATATTCCCTTAACCTCATCTGTCTTTGGGTGTGGTAGGCAAATGGCAATAATTGGATTTCTGCCATCTCAGAGTAGGATGATTTAAGTTATTTACCTTCTTGTTGGGCAGAAATGTAAACCATTTACTCTTACAAGTCCTTGGCTTAGGGAAGATGGGATACTAGCTGGCTGCAAACTGCTTATTTTAACTATCTGTCTCAGTTTCCCTTATTCTGCTTGCCCTGGCTGACTAATCTATCTCAGCTTCAGCTTCATGTACTGGCATCCCAGGAGACTGGGCACAGTACCTATGATACAGAGAGATCTGATAAGGTTACTGAGGAGTGGGGAGGGGCCATAGAGGAGGTTAGAACAGGGTTAGTTGAGAAGCTGAACACCTCCAGTGCACATTGGAATTATGGGCTGGAAGATTCAAACAGAAGGAAGACAGAGACTTGCTTTCTCAGGGATGCCTGGATGATTATGCTGTAGCTGCGTGCATTTCCCAAAGGGTGGTATTTTAAATGGGAGAAAGAACTCTGGGGCAGCCTAGGATTGGGCCGGCCTGGCAGAGGATTGGCAGGGTTATTCTTTGGGTGTCCTAGAGGGCTCTAAGGTAGACGCCTGCCATTCTTCCAAAATTGTATAGCTTTTGTATCTTCTGTTTTAGTTTGTAAACTAGCCTTATAGAAATAAGATAATTAAAAACTAATAGGGGGAATGATAGGGGAACTCAAGAGGTAAAGATTTTAGCCTGTGTTGATAGGCTTAAGTGATTAAAGCTGGAAGTTAAGAGTTAAAAAGATTTCAGCCTTGGTTGCATGTGGAGCTGTTATTCCAAAATTGTGTAGTTTTTGAATAGAGACTCCTTTCTTTTTTCACCAAACCTCTGCCTTCAGAATTTTGTCTAGAGGGTGGCAGCAGGGCAACAGGATTTTGCTTGCTGTTCAGTAACACCTACAGAGCCTGTTGTGCTCACTGCTTCTGAGACAGGATAGTAAGAAGTTAGGGAAATTCTTGGGCAAGTGGGATGGGGAAACAGACAAGAAAATTAAAGCCAAATAGTTTGAGTAATTTACAGCCAGCTAGACCTTATCTTTTCTAACCAGAGACACTTGAGAATAAATGGTTTTTACCTCTCCTCCCTAACCAGAGAATACATAAATTCCCTGGCCATAAACCACAGGCCTGGGGGATGTGGCAGGGGGTGTGGCAGCAGTATAGTGTGAGGCAGAGGAATTCTCATGCCAGTGGAGAGATAATACCAGAACAAAGGAGCCAGCTTGGAAAGATGTGTATCTCCCCTTTCTGCATATCTGCGCTTCCCCTAGAATTTACCCCTCCCAGATTCCCTCATTTCTCCTATATAAACTTGCTTCTGAAAGCTCAAGGTAAGGTGGATGTTAGGATTTTAACTCACCACCTTCTCAGACTGGTAGTCTCTGATATTAAATGTGCAATTATAATCCAATCCTTGTCTCTGCTTTTTGGCTGAGCAGTAACAGGCTAGCATGTGCCCTGAACTTGGTTGCCCTCTGGTTTCTATTCCACAGACTGCTCATGAAGCCCATTTAGGTTTGCACTTTGGTGCTTTTGGTTGAGGTCAAATGCCTTTTAAGATATGCAGGGGGCGGTTTTCCCCTCAAGGTTGGATGGGTGAGTGGTGGGTAATTGGTCTGAGGAAGATGGTCCCATGACAGCACGAGGGTGCTCCTGCAGGAGTTTTCTAGCAAAGAGAAAAAACTCTTCCCCTCAAAAGAAAACCTTCACCTATGGAAGGTTTCCTGGAAGGCATGATGTAGGGTAAGTGGAGGCAGTCTGGCTTCTTTGCCCAGGTGTCTGGGTAACTAAGAGGAGCAGCGTTCCCACAGCCTTGGATATGGCTCTGGTAAATTCTGTAACCAGCGTTCTCAGCCTTGAGACTGGGCCTGATAAACTGTTCCCATAACATGAAGTAGGCTCACATGCACAGAATTATGTGATGTTCTGGCAGGTTTCAGGCTTTGTTCCCTTCTAGTATTTAAACAGGTAGGGACTCCCTGCTGGGGGCAATGATGATGAGAGACATGCAGGGGATAGGTCCCACAGTGGGTGCCATGCTGGGGAGCAGGAACCATGACATGAGACATGCAGATAGACATGCAGCTTGCATGCGTGGCTTGCTCACCCATGAATAAAGGCACGTCGGACATCCCAACAGCTCTGTGAGGAATATTTTTCCATCTGCACCTTTCAAGGCCTGCTTGGCCTTGAAGGGTGGCAACACACATAAGAAGGAATCTGAGGCATTAGGATAGGAATGAGGAAGTTGTTAAAATGGTCCATGAAGTGGGATATGAAAGAATTCACAAAGAGAAGAAAGTGTAGAGAAGAAAGTTTTTATTCACGCTCCAAGAGAGGAGAGCTTTAAATCACCTTAAATTCACCTGCTCATGAATAGCCTTAGAAGTAGTTAACCTCTCTTTCACCCTACCTAATTATCATGCTATTACAATGAATTAGCAGTGTGGTTTGCATGCTGGCCAACAAATTGGGAAGCGTTTAAAGCATGACACTGGGTAAAGCATACTCCTTGGTGGTATTACCTGTTAACCTATTTTTCTCCTCATGCTGCATCTGTAATCACTGAGACTGATATAACTGCTTTGGCTTTGCACACTGCTCAGGAATTGAATCTTACACAGGATTCCTTAAGACTGTTATAAATGAGGAAGTATATCAATTAAGAAAAGTAGCCTTGCAAAATCATATGGTCTTAGATATGCTTACTGCATCCCAAGGTGGAGTGTGCCCTAATAGGAGCTGAATGCTGTTTATATGTTCCTGATGGCCATCACAATGTTAGTGAAGCTTTACGGGCATTAGCTTCTGAGACCTGTATCACTGAATGCCTGACAAGGTGATCTCCTGCAGAAGTGGTGGGCATCTCTAACCACTGAGTGGTGGTGGGTTCTTGCTGTCTTGAGGGGCAGTGCTTGTGTTTTAGCTGCTTGTAACAGTAGTTTGTACTGCTGTTGTGGTTTATGGGTGTAGGGTTCTGCCCTCCTGGCCACGGAATGTGTGCAGAAGACACCCTTGCATAGATTGTATGGTGAAGAACCCAGAAGGGGTGGGTTGTAGGGTAAATGGAGGCAGACTGGCTTCCTCACCCAGATGTCTGGGGAACTAAGATAAGCTGTGAGACTGGGTCTGATGAATAGTCCCCATAACATTGAGTGTGCTCACATGCCCAGAATCATGCATGTTGTGATTATTCTGTATTATTGTATCACACATGTCATGATACAATATTCTGGCTTCCTGCTGGCTGTATCTATATTTAGTATATATGGTGGACAGGTGACATGCAGAGACACACAGGGGACATTCAGGGTGACACGTGACTTGCAGCATGTGTGGATTGCCCACCCTTGAATAAAGGCATGTCAAACATCCCAGCAGCTCCGTGAATATTCTTTGCCTACTCAAATCTCATAAACCTGCCAGGCCTTTACAGGCTGCAGGCATGCCTCCTGAAACAGGACAAAATATTTCAGTCTTTAGTGACTCAATGGTCATAAATTTGGCAAAATTAAAAGTTTTATAAGACTTTTTAAAGCCTCCTCAACAACTCACAATCTGTCTTGAAGACAATCAGAAGTGTAAATAGCTCATGACTATTGAGACTAAACAAACCAAAGGAAAGATATGGGAAAGATAAGCCTTTTAAAAACACAACCATCACCCTGGCTAATGTAGCTCAGCGGATTGAGCACAGGCCTGCAAACCAAAGGGTCACTGGTTCAGTTCCCAGTCAGGGCACATGTTTGGATTGTGGGCCAGGTCCCCAGTTGGGAGTACATGAGAGGCAACCATACATTGATGTTTCTCTCCCTTTCTTTCTCATTCCTTTCCACCCTCTAAAAATAAAGTTTTCCTTATCTAAGCAACCCTCCCACAGCCTACTTAAAAATTGTTATTAACAAATACAAATCCTAAAAGCCCTCTAAAAGTAATAAAAGCATTAGCCATCTGAATGAATAAACGTAACTTATT